CTGACTGTGATCTATAAATACTGTTCATATCCTCTGCTGGCAATGCACTGAGGAGTGATACTTGCTCGTAGAGACCTCCAAGAGTGTAACTGCCAGAAAGTCATGACCACTAAGCCATAAAACAAGAGTCTTATCCAAGTCAACGTGTGCCGCTAAAGGTGTCTGCCAGTACTGTAAGTTATGAGCTGTGCTTTACATTTGTAACAGCAATGTTGACGGGGTAAGACAGATCCATTTTTTAAATTTGATCTTTGATAAAATAAACATATCTTTTTGTAAAGTGGGTTGGTAGAAAATGTCTTAAACTTCTTACATACCTGATTATGGTAACTTTGACTAACCAAGTCTAGCCACTCATTTACATATAGCCTGCACAGAATACTTACGTTTAATATATGTAAATTGCCAAAACATTGCTCAGCACCTCAGTATAAATTTGTAACTGAATTACAGATTGTGTCTATTATTTCATAAATACTTCAGATATTCATATACTGTAGGTATTGGAGAAATGTCTTTGAATGCTAGTCAGAGTATCATATTCAGTTATCTCAGTCATTCATGCGTAACTGGCAGGACTTGGCACTGGAGCTCGGTTTGAATATGTGCTCATTAAATGAGGAGACACTTGGCACAGCACAATGTCCATGTAGAGAGTTGCAAATTTGAGTGTAACTGTTTCACACAGGGTAAATACGCACACAAAACGTCTGATGAGTGTGTTGAGGAGCATGAATAAGATGGCGATTACTGTTATGTCACTGGCTATGACTTGCTGAAGTAACATACTGTAATTTGTGAGAATGAGAATGCTGTTTTTTCTTCCACAGATACACAGAGATAAACAGAGATTATATAACCACACAGTATCCAAGGTTAATCATTTAAAAGACTCTATAATTGCAACTTAACAACTCAGGTTTTAGATGAGCTATAAACACATGCACTGATTTAGTAGGAATACAATTTCTTTTATAGTAATACTACTTTGAATACATATCAGGGTTTGACAACTGCATGACACAAGGGGGAAGAAATGGGCAGGAAGCTGTGCCACTGACCCTACCCAGTTAGACAACCATCTGCTCGAAAAACATGCCCTGGAAACTGTAGATTCATTAAGAGCTTGAGTACTTCCTCAGCCTCCTACTATAGTATAAACAATTTCCCTTTCCATTCTGTGCAGGTGTCTGTAATCTTCACTAATGTACTGTATTGTTCATTGTGCCTGGAGGTTTGTTGCAATAACGTCAACAGATTATTTCATATTTGAATTGGAGAGCATGCAAAGTACCTCACACCGACATCGGCTAGGATTCATAAAATTGTTCTATAATAGATGTGTTATTTTCCATTTGTACAGTTCATTTTATTTAATTCTTTAACTTTTAAAAAAGCACCAAGGTGCACATCACAGGAAATTAAGGATAATCACCTTTATTGGCCGAGTATGTTACACACAAGGAATTTGTTTCCGGTACAGAGCCGATGGCAGCCATCTGCGACGCCAACTCAAATGATGGCTCTAACTATTGGGGGCAATGGGGGGCTTCAGTGTCTTGCCCAAGGACACTTCAACATGTGGACTGCAGGCACCGAGATTCAAACCTTCAACCTTCTGGTTGGAAAACAACTGCACTACCCAACGCACCACTGTCACCTTCTCCACATTGTCATGTGGAGAAAATGTTGTCAGCTTTGTTCTAAAGAAACTATCTCAGCTAGTTGCATACTGGGGGAGTGTTGCACAGACTGTGGACATTTAAGAAAATGCAACTCCTGGCACTTCTGCTTTAACATTGAACCTGCCACAAGAGCCCCTGATACACTTCTACAGAGCAATCATCAAGTCTGTTCTCCACCCGCCATCGCTGTCTGGTTTGGTTCAGCAATGAAACAGGACAGGAACAGACTCCAACGAACAGTTCAGACTGCAGAAAGAATAATCGGTGCCAACCTGCCCTTGGTTGGAGACCTGTACACCTCACGGGTCAAAAGGAGGGCAGAGAAGATTTCTGCAGAGCCCTCACATCCCGGACACAAATGGTTGTTCTCTGGACGGCGCTACAGGTCACTGTATGTCAAGACAACCAGACGCAAGGACATGTCTTCTCCCATGCCATCATTCTTATGAACAGTTAAGCCATATTTGTCTGAATAATATGATTCAGCAAAAACTTCCAGTGCAATAATTTGTAAATATAACCACTGCGCATACTTATCTGAAAGCTCTTCTTTCAGACTGTATATAGTGTATGATTATACACTTATTAATAGATTGTTGTTTTGTATTTTTCCTTTCTTTCTTGTTTGTTTGTTTGTTTTTCTTATTTAAATGCATTTTTTTTCTTTTGTTAACTTAAAAAAGCACAGCGAGAGCCACTGTACCAGAGTCAAATCCCTTGTGTGTTCAACATACTTGGCAAATAAAGATGATTTTGATACAGTATTCAACACCTTCAACACTAGAATATAGTATATTTTGTGCATCCCATCATATTTTGTGTAACCTTGTGCAGATACACTGATACAAAAAATCAGCTCCCCTAGAGTTCTTGCTAAAGGTAAAACTAAACAAAACTTAGGGCAGTAGGTGTCATGTACATGTACTGTGTCTTTACAGAGAATGCAAGGTCCCTCCTTGTGTGTTGTGTTTGTGTGGGTGCACTCAAAATGGTCAGCACGTCTCTGCAACAACACCAAGAGAATTTGCTGTTTCCATTAGTAATAAACACTAGTAAACAAATGACATTGTTTTACTATTGTTTATGAAGGATATGAAGACACTAGAGTCTAGATCTGGACAGCTAATGTAACCACTGAGTCATTTTCTGTAAGACGATGAACAGATGCAATAGAAGGGTAGTTTAGGTCAAAAATACTAACGTAGTATGATGAAAAGAGCCATTAGGAACATGGTGGTAGAATATTACTAATATTACTAGTACTGGATTTAGGAGGTTTTTCCTGGCTCCAGACATACATGCACATTGTCTATGCTTTGTGACATTTGCTGTGCTGTTTCTAGTGTTAGAACCACAGGCATTTTCCAGAGTCTAATATATTGCTTGTTCTCAATGGCATAATAACTTTCAAAGCGGGTGACATGTCAGATTACAATATATATATACACCTTGTCATAAATATGATTTGGGAGCCTATTTACATGAGATGATCAAACAGAGAACTTCTGTTCCACCATGATTAAAGATTTTGTGGCTGAAGCAATATTTATAGTTCGATTTCCAGACCTCTGTGAAAGAGGGAATAACTTGACTGCAGCCCTGTTCACAGACCAGCAGCATTCATTTAAACAGCACTGCAGCTCTCACACCGTGTGTTACGGGTGAAGGGTGGTTGGCCAGTAAGTGAGAGGCTGCTGATTCAACCCCTCATTCTGGCTGAGGAACTGTATATGAAAGAGGAACGTGAAAGTCTCACTCTTCTCTCAACAAGTACTAGCAATGTGTTCTTTACCACACTTCATCTGTGCTACTCAGCGATAACAAGTTAGAGTACTGTTTACTCTGGGCACTGCTGAGGTGTGAGGCCATGTAAATGTAGCAGTCCATTTTGTGCTCTGTGAATTTTCCCTGGGTAAATATGTTCACGGTTGAATGCGCTGCCTCACTACATTCTGAATATTTAATGGCTCTCAATTTGCAAGCTACAGTTTGAAAAGAGTTATCAATTACCTGAAAAGATGTATCCTCAGTGACTGTGTAACATACAACGTCCCCAGTGAGAAAAAAAACACTCTCACCATTTTACATTTGTTCTAATGTTTGCTTTTCAATAACCAACCTTTTAATTTTAATTTAGTCGTCACTGCAGATAGTGGGTTTTCAATGTCAAGGCTCAAAGCAAGGGCAGGCAGCCACTTGTGGGCCTGGGCAACCTACAGATAGAAGAAGGGGAAATGGAATTCCCTTCACATAAAAGACTTTGTGATATCAAATCAGATCCGACTTATCTCTTTATTGTAGTCTGGCAGGCTTTGTTCCAAATCACTGCCAGCTGTGCTTTCTCATTTTGAGGACCATTTGCCAAAACAAGACCACCATTCTTTACAGCTATGTACTAAATTTACAACAGCAAGAGGGGTTTTAATGCTCCACTGAATCATTTAAGTGGCTTAAGTACAACACTGCATGATAGATGGTTGTTTTAATTAATGAATAATAAAATTCAATACATCAAAGAAACCCAAAAGAGATGAGAGAATGTAATTTAAATTTTGAAATCAATCAGTCTCCCAGTTTATTAATGACCTTGTATTGGCCATTGATCTTCCAAAAGATGTACTGTTAATTTTCATTTTATAGGTATATAATTATCATTCATCATAGCCCTTTTCTCCATTTAGCATCTTCAATTTAAACCTTGCGTCCCTGCTGTCTCAGCTTTGTCTCATGGCTTTAGCACAAATAACTTTCACTAAGTAAAATAAGGTGTAATTAGAGTAAGTATAGCCTGGAGGCATGGCCTTATGTTTATTCACAAGTTTATGAGTTTATGACCATGTGCCATGTAGACAGAACTTGGGATGCACTGTGCACTGTATGTCACTGAAAACCATGAGAATTATGAGCTATTTTCAACAATAATAAGATGATAAGGTGAAACTCTGAATTGATGTACCAAGGACCCAAAAATACTGCTTCAAAAATAATATAGTGTTGTTGTGCCAACACTCAGAAGCAACAACAGGCAAAAAGAAATAGAAATAATAAAAAGGTTACCACAGCAAAAATAGCTTAACCCATAATTTGGGGGGACATTTAAACTCTCACAGTGTTGCTATCTGCACTACTGTTACTGTAAGTGTACAGTCAGATCTGAGGATCAGGAGAAGAAGCCTGCAGCGACAGGGGCTCTCCAGGGTTCTGGACTGGTTTGCAAGGCTGCACTCAGATTTAACAAGTCTTAATATCACAACAACAACAACTTGAAAACAAAATCTAACCAAACACACACACACACACACAAACAAGACTCACCTTCCACTTCATCCTCAGGCAAAGCAACAGGGGCCCGGTAGGTGAGGACATCTGGAATAGTGCAAAGTCCCTTGTACATGAACCTGGTGGTCACAGCACGCACTGGCATTTCTGCGAGGGAAGATCAACAGTGTCGCGATCTTCATATAGCCTTACTCTCCGGAGTTGTGACACAGACCCTTTGCTACCGTCTTCGCTATTTAAAAACTAAGAATATCACACAGGAATTCACACTTTGCAAAGTTCAGTCCTCGTCCAGTGTGATATTTTCTATAATACCAAACCATTAATAAAATCACCTTGCACCGGGCTGCGTGTTTGTCCAAGAATGCAGTTTGGTTTCAATGCATAGCCTGTGGCAGCCCCAAGGTGCAAGATATGAAGCAAATACGCAGAGCCATTCCATAAAAAATGACATTTAAAAGTTTTCCTTAGCAAAGCTCTGGAAATGTTTAGGCATTTAGAATGCCCTTAAATACCATTCAGATATGGATTAGCTCATATTAAATCCTTGATGCCAACAATGAAATAAGCCTGCTACTTTGCCATTCTTCTATCCACATATCGCTCCTGCATTCCAGCAATAAAATGATTTTTTAAAAAGGAAAAGGAGTACTGCAAGATAAATTTGAAAACACTAAATCGATCCTTTCTCTATTGATCTCACTGATTCCTACAGCGCGTCTTGTTTTGTCACACAGTCTATTCCCGGTATAGTCTGCCTCACTTTTCTTCCTCGTTTCGGCATCTTCCTAAAAAACGCGAACCGATGGCACAAGGTAAAACAACAGCACTGGCGAGCTGATCCTATCAAACGAGGTGTAAACAAGATCTCGCAACATTTCCCCCCCCGCCCCCCCGGAGAGCAGCTTAAGGGAATCCTGGGTGACCCCCTTCCCATCTGATACAGTCGCGCTGTATGAGGCAGTGATCCCCCCTCTCTGTCTCTCCCTCTCTCTCTCTCTCTCTCTCTCCAGCTGTCTGCTCCAGTCTCATTTGAGCTCTCACAAAGCAGCACATTCACACACACACGTCTCCATCATACTGCTGCCTGTCACAGTGGAGCCTATTGACCGTTTCTAAACCGTCCGCCTGTAATGAGATTTTCTGCGTTCTCCCAGTTTATATGTTCGCCGAAAAGACATGTCAGAAACACAGTTAGACCACTATGCACCGCAGGCTAGCATGTTTAATGGAGCAGAACAGCAAGAATCTAGCAACAAGTGAGGCTCTTGAGCCTGGTTTCTTTTGCATTTCTGATCCATTTTTCATAATATTTTAGCCTAATAATAAAAAGTTAAATCAAGCCAGGGGCTACTGGGAGCTGTGGCTCTGAAAGGCTTATAGGAGCTGTGATCAATGATCAGGTCAAAACTAGGCTAATCAATCACGTCAACATTTTGGAAAACTGTAGGGTGGTGCATTTACATAGTATTTTTATTTATGTATTTATTTTCAATCCAAAGTGTGTTACAATATGCTCCTCATTCACACACTGATGGCAGCGAGCCACCATCCAAGATTCTGGCTTGCAAATGAACTATATTAACATTTATTTTCCATCTGAAGATGTGATAATTTCTTCTCAGAGTCATGTAAAAGATAATCATTTACAAAAGATAACACCCTTATGTATTTAAAGAACCAACAGTGGCTTTCAGGCAAAACCTGAATTCGCTCATGAAAAAAATCTCTTTCCTGGAAACAAACAAGCCCAGAGAGAAGGGTTTACAGGCAGCATTCTTATCTATCTTTTAAACCCAAAACAAAGCAGCACACACACTCATTTTTTGTTCAGAGCCAGTGGAGTGACTCACTGAAATGTGATAAATGTTCACTGCAGTGCATCCAAATCAACAACACAGCAAAGCCTGAGAAAACACAAAACAAAACATCACCCATTGAGAATGCCTGCAATGATGATGCCCCGAGTTTGTATCTTTCCACCCTGGCTGACACCAGATAAGTGCCACGTGTGCTGGGAGAGCACCATGTGGTTCCACTGGCTGGCTCTTCAAGGCTTTATGGGACTGTCAGGTCTATTCCCCCCTCAAATGTGAAGGGATTGCCTCTCTCTGTTGCACCTGAGCCTTCCTGCTGTCTCAGTGCTCAGACAAGCAAACGTCTTAAAACCTCAACAATAGGCTTTGTTCTCTTGCAGATATTACATATGATGGAAATATGATGGCTCCAATTCTGCGGCTCATTTTCACACAGTCTTTAAAATTGTGGAACCACATGGTAATTACGTATATATATAAAGAAGTGATATTTGTCATCGTATATCAAACACAGCACCAGGACAAAACTTTACATAAGCATTTCTTCATTCAAAAGCTAATTAAAACCAACATGGCTGCATGAGCATAAAGTAAAATCATTCTTCATCACTGGTAGTAGGATATCTCAGTCCTCACATCCTTCCCATAGGCCTCAGGGGAGCTAAAGGTTGACCGCAGAGGCAACAGACCTGAAAACAGAGAGTTAAGAAATGAAATAACTGAGATAAGTTTTAAATATTCAGCACTGGATGGGAGCCATTCTTGTAAATTACAAGGACAGGCTCTGTCGGTCAGTTGTGATCAAGGTCCCAGACAAATATTGCAAAGGGTGAGGATTAATTTACCAAAGTAATGCTGCAGAGCTACATCTCACTGCAGCTTAAGGGATGTATTGTGAAATACAGGGAGTTGACAGTGTTGTGGAACAGGTAATGAGAGTAGAGACTGCAGTAATCTGTTGGAAATATACAGCAGTGAGGACATTGTCAGTGGAAGCACTGTTGAGTGTCTCCAGAGAGACTATTATGTGTACCTCTGATGAGCTGAGAAAAATATCGTGTCCAGCTACATTAAACAGCCACAGCAACTTGGCTCTACAGGTCTGCTCTGTGTTGACACCTCACACTGTCGGAGGTTTCGCTATGTCGCTGGATGTGTTTCACTGAACGTGTACAGGGAAATGTCCTGTAAATGTAACATTCTTCTACACGGCAAACATTTTCTGCTGGAGTGAACTGAGCTGAGCAGTTTGAAAAACTTACAAGTTGAACCACATTTTTTAGCTTGAATAAAATCTTAATTTGTTTAGAATTTATTAAGAAGAACTAGACAACTTTGTGCAGCAGATGAAATTAGCCATTTATCAGAGGGGTTTTTGTGAAACCAACCCTTACTGTTAAACATGGTGGAGGGTCTACAGTCTCTTATCTCATGAGGTACATGCATTGTTGTAAAAATATATAACAGGAAACACAAACACGTCCCTATTACTGTTCAAGCACAGTTACTATGCATGTATTGTTTTTGTCTACTTCTTCTTGTCTTCTTCTTCTGGCTTGAAGGAGTTGCTTTGAGGGGTGACTGTGGTTTGGTGGGTATCGCGGTCATCTCCCAACCAGAAGGTTGGAGGTTTGAATCACTGCAGTCCACATGTCGAAGTGTTCTAGGGCAAGACACTGAGCCCCAAGTTCCCCCCGATGGTTACAGCCATCAGTTTGAGCTGACGCTGCAGATGGCTGAAAACAAATTCCTTGTGTGTGTAACATAATTGGCCAAATGAGGTGACTATCCTTGTCTAACTGGCAATTTGTAAGGAAATTCATGTTTAACTTAAGAAAACACAGGCCATTTTTTAACTAAACAACCCTTTCTCTGCATGGAAAATGCAATTTATAAAGCTAACAGTGTAGAAAGAAGTTCCAGAAATCTCATCAGTGGCACCTACGTGAAAACAGCTTACTGTCAAAAACTCATTTGGGATTATTGATTGCTTTTATAACCGTCTAAAGAACCTTTTGGTTCTAGACACTATGAGGTCATACCACTTAAAGCTTTTATGTGATCCAAATCAAAACAGCTCCCTAAAGTGGAAGGAGAAGTTACAGATGCCTTTTTTGTCTTTTACTTTATTTGGGCTTGTTAGAGGCTTGGCACAACATGTGGTTTGGATTATCACTGTGGCTGACGTACCAGTCAGTGGAACATTAAGTCAAGTGAATTTTATATCTGTGGTCCAAAATCATAAAACCAGACAAGAAAAACACTCCACATAAACTGTTCAACAGGGAAAAAGTGAGAAACCCCAGGAAGAGCAGCCACTATAGGAGGGGTCCCTCTTCCAGGATGGACACATGCAAATGTCATCCACTGTAGTGTAGACAGAAAAAACATTAACATTACAATACAATGATGAAAGAATAATGAGAATCTTTACATGTAAATACCACCAATATTTTTGTATTTCATTGCTCTCTTAGGAAAATCAAGTATCTCCAGTTTTGGCGATGATGAATTTTTCAAATAGTTTGAGAAAATTCTACTTCATAACATAAAACCCCCCACTGGATTATTTGAGTTATAAATTGTCACAAAGCTAAAATAAAATAGAAATATTTGGTTTTATACGACAGCGCCCAAACAGTCTATCAGCTGTAGGAACTATGAAGGAATCATTTTATTAGTGGGTGAATTAGCCAACCAAATAATTGCTCAAAACAAATATAAAAAAATTTATAAAATATGAATAATAATAAAACTAAACTAAACTAAAACAAGAAATTAAACAGCAGAAAATAATAATCATGTTAGTTTCCTCTGGCAGTGGAGTATTCAGAGTAAACACAACATGCACACATAAAAACATGCAAAAAAGTACGTGCACTGACAGCTGAGGATGTGCATTTTTTCTTGTTTTAACACTATAAAGCAGGTTCTTAAGATGTCAGTATAGATGACACATCTCTTAATCTCCACTGCTAGTGTTTTTTTCTGGATGGTGCTTTCTATTAAATTATTCTTGAGGTCACCTTTTGAAAAGTAACTAGAGATCCTTCAGTGTCCTTCGTAACATGTCCAGTAGATCATCAGCAACATTAAGTTGTTTATTATCTTTATGCCATTGCATTTATTAGCTGAGAGCTGTATTAAGAAATTACCTAACACCTGAATTCCAGCAATGATTTTCACCACTGTACTCCATGAGCTTCAGGTGTAATTGCCAATTACAGCGCACAGTGATTCATGAATATTTGATAATAAAATGCATGATCACAATCAGATTCCCCAATGAGCAGCTGCTCTGGCTCGGTCAGTTTCCCTGTCACCACCTTGTACTTGGTTGGTACGACGGACCAATTTATACGTGATCCAGGGGTCTAATGCGCTGGATTACCATGTCATCAAGCTGAAAAACATGTTCTATTGAACGGTGATGATTGAATCATGAAAAAACAAACATTTCTTGAATGTATTATTCATTGCATTTAATACTCACTCAGTATTAAAAGCAGATAGGCCAGACTGTATGCTGCTAACTCAGAAGTATGGTAAACTTAATGTTTGTTTATAGAGAACAAGCAGCCAGACATTTGGCTATTGTCTGCCTTCTGATTGCTGTGTCACTGTGTCAGGTTCTGTTCTTGTCTCTGACAGCTGATTGTGATGGATTCTTTAAATTACTTGTTTCTGTGGCAGATGGTATACTTTGTCATTAACAGCAGTTGTGAGAATTCTCTGGTATCCTGAAGGGCAGAAGAGAACCTAGTGCTTAATAAAATTTTACATCATCACATATTCAAGTGATGTATTAAAATATAATGAGGACATCAATTACTGTACCTTTTGGAATACCTGTGACGGCCAGAGTCACATATGGGGACTGACTGGGTGTCGTGGAGGAATTTAATATTAAAACATAATAATATGAAGGAAGTGGCACAATTTCAACAGAACATGTACAGATAATGATAAAAAAAATTAAACAAATGAATTAAACTGCTGTGGTGAAAAAATTAAACACACATTTGTAAAAAAAAAATCAGTCGCTTGGAGGGCAAAATT